CAATATTATATTCATATGTAAAACAGTTGTAAATACTTGAGTGTGTAGTGAAAAAAGGCATGCACAGGTGTTATATACATTGTTTACAATTCTAACTAAAAAGCATCATAAATTAAAAGAATAATTCAAGATCAAAATCTTGGAATTCTTAACCTAATTCAAGTGCCAAACAAAGACTTCTTAGAAATGTCTTTTCTAACTATATATTGACAAACCAGAGTGTGGTGCTTGAGGTAGAGCACAGTCATCAAGGATCTTCCCAAATGAGACCAAACTTTTCATGTTTTAATCAAATATAGGACCCGGTTTTGTTGCTGTTGTTGTTTTGGTTTTTGGTTTTGTCAGTAAAGGACAGATTAAAAAAAAGATTGCATCCCTAGCTGTAATAATGTGAGACAGAATGTGTGTAAAGCATTTAAGAACAGTGACGGGCCAGGGATTTAGCTCAGGGGTGCCATGCCTGCCTTGCAAGGTTTGGTCCCCAGTATCAAAAATAGAGAATGGTTTGTTTGGTTTTTTTGATACCGGGGATCGAACTCAGGCCCTTGAGCTTGCGCAGCAGGCGGCGAAACCACTGAGCTAAATCCCCGGCCCATAAAAATAAAGAATGGTGATAAGCACATTTCACTCAATGAGTAGCAGCTGTTTTAATTTTAATTTTAATTATATTTAGTGTCATAAAACTGCCATCTTCAGATTTTCCCCAGTTTTCTGAGGTGTTTGAAGTCAGAAGTAAGAGGGATAAAATGCTTAAGTCTAAATTTTTATTTTGTATTGGGGTGACATTTTTAATGTAAGTCTTATACAACCTGTAAATATGTGTTCACTAACTTTTTTACTTCCCATTAAGATATTTGGGTTCCAAAACTGCATCGTGAATAACTTTAAAGATGTAATGACAAATATCAAGCGTTTTTTAATATATTCTACGTTGTTCCCTTTAACAACAACCCTGAATTTAGGCATATTTATTCTCCTTTAATAGATGAGGATACTGAGAATCAGAGTAAGTACAGTGAAACACTCATGATGATAACACTCACTGGTGGTAGGATTAAGACCAGAAATCTATGGCCTCTTATATTGCATAAATTGGGTCCCTCAGGCTTCCTCAGTAGGTTTCCAATTGAATTCACAGGTGTAAATCTAGATTTCTTCTGCTTATTAATTCAAGGGGATATCTGGTAATCCTGGTAATATGTGGGAAATGGAGAACTTGAGGTAGAACTCTTAGGAAAACTTTTCCCTTGGGTACCCTAAACTTGCCTAACAGACAAAGTCTATAAAATGATTCTGGAGACAACTCAATCAGAGAAACTTCCCCACGCTCAAATAGTATTTATCAGTATAGATATAAAATGTAATTTAATTCAGTTGAAACTATTCTGGAGGAAATTGTGCTTCAATTCTTACTATATAGAAGCAAGAAGCAAACGTTAACCTCTGCTAATAATACTTAAAATTGGGTTATATCCTGCTTTTCTCCATCACGTTAGAGCCTCTGAATTTTAAAATGAATGTGAATGTTTCCCAATGAAAGAATTGAAAGAACATACATTCCTGCAGGATAAATGGGTGTTCAACCAAAAATGGAGGATACAAATTCAAATGAGTGATTGGATCAGACATTTAAAATACCCTTCCAGCTGAGGGAATCTGAGACTATGATCTAAAACTCAATTGCCCTTGCTTTCCCAATATATAGCCAATCATCTGCCATTGGTATTGAGTATTAGCAAATACATTTGATCTGTCATGTCTTTGCACAATGTGAACACTTTTGACTCATAAGAGAATTTGATGTCCATTTCAATTTAGCTTTAAAGTTCTGTCTGATGGCTTGTTAGGGAAGGTCAAGCAGATCCTTTAAGCAGACTTGCATTTGATAATTGTGGCTACCAAAGGAAATGAAGCTTTAAGGGTGGAATGGAAAACTTTTAATTAAAAAAAATAGGCTAATTCAGTAATTCAAGTGAATTTTTTAAAAGGAGACATTTTTGAAAGGTACCAATTCTGAAATAAGGGTTAATTGTAACAATGATTCAAAATAGTGTGAAATGACTATGGTTTGGCTTTAATAATAGTATCCACCACCACTACAAAAGTAAAATAACAGTGTATTTAAACCTAAAAAAAGTATCAGAAATATACACTCACAATTGAAGAATTGAACCTAAATTTTGGCAAATGGTGGTAATTTCATTTTTAATGATCAAATAATTAGTATATATATTTGTCATATAAGTATTTGCCAAGTCAAATGATGCTTAATTTTGTTTAGACAATATGATTAAAATAAGTAGTAGCAGTAGAACACTGTTCCTGAAAATACAGTCTTTTTGAAGATTGCTCTTTTGATTGCATTATCAGTGTTCTTTCAAATAATTGTCTTTTTTTCCACTTTTTCCAAGTTTAGCAAAGCTTCTCAATTTATATTAGCTGGAATTTTCACTTACATAACTATTGTCTATTGTCAATTATTTAACTTTTTAGATTAGCGAACACATTAGCTTTTTCAATATGAAAATAAAGATTACAGTATCAAAAAAGTAATTTAAAATATATTGAAAGACTTGCTCATTTAAGGAATATGTGATAATCTTTCAATTAGTTACTTGCTGGCTAGAGAAGGACTAAATCCTATCATTTTTATTACAGTAAAGGATTTTATTAATAGGTATATTATATTGCCCTTTTATTAATAGTGAAATAGAGTATAATTTTAATGGTCTTAGTAGAACTGATCTTAGTAGATCCAATCAGGATGCAGAGTCCACTCAGAGCTGACAGACCACTTCTAGAATAATCCAAGCAGCACAAGAAAGATCATGGCCATTATTCAGAGCAAGATGATCAAGGTATATAATGTACTTCATAAAATGAATGGCTGAGGAAGCTTGAACAGGACAAGAGATGAATGAGAAGACTAACAGATATATGATCAAGTCTCATATTCATCTTAAATAGTACTGGTATGGTAATCCAAGTTGTTACAATATGAACTGTTATACTACTATTCTCCCTAACCTCACTGCCACATCTTCTCCTATGATGTCCCAAACCTTGCAACTACTTAACAACTAAATGGGCCTGGCCCAGAAAACATCTCCAGCACCTACTACCTATAGCTAGGTACCTCCAGCTGTACCTATAGTTACCTATAGCTGCTACCTTTAGCTGGCAGTAGTTCTGATTAGTCGTGTAATGACGTGCTGGTTGGTAAATACTTTTTTGGTCACTGAGACACAATACCTGACACCCAAGGCTAAAGGAGCAGAGGTTTATTTTGGCTCACAAATAGATTGTAGAGGTTTCAATCCATAGTTGGCTCATTCCAAGGCAGGATAGCAGAAGGGCATCACAGAAGAGAAAGGAGGCAGCAAGAAGCAAGCCGTAGAAGCAGCAGTGAAAGAAGCCTCCTTTTCCCTTTTATCTCATCCAGGCTGCAATCCGTTTGGGTTATCCATGCCCAGGATTATGATAATCCTAATCAGTGGATTAATTTAGTATTACACACCCTTAATCCCAATATCACATGCTCTGGATCCATCCAGCTCCATAAAAAGCCCTACCTATGAGCTTTGGGGGACCTCTGGATACAAGCCACAACATCACCCAAATATGCTTAGTCAAAATTAAAATGAGAAAGAACGGAATCAGTGTATTCAAAAAGGAAACAATACAAGAAAAAAGTGCAGGCATATACATTTAAGCAGTAGTGTTCTAAACTAAATAATTTAGATTCTTTGCATGGAATGGTGCTGGACATCCAGTAGTTGCTCAATAAATAACTGTTAGGTGAAAATAAATATTCCTTCATATCTTAACATTTTATCAAGCATGGTCTTAAAATGTAGGTTTTGCTAATATGTGGGTATGGGAACCCAACAGATTAGGAGAGGACACTGAAGAAGTAGTTTGCTATTCATAGTTCAGAAGGGGGAAGAGGCATAGCATATCACGGAAGGCTACAATGAGAAGCACCAATGTTGACTAGGGAGCTGAAGGAAAAAGGGAAATGTGGGCAACAGCCTTTGTTGTTGTTTCTATAGTAAAAGTAAGGAAAGGCAGGGTAGGCAGGCTTAGGATCCTGTGCTTTGAATAATTTCTGTGGTTCTGAGGGGTAGTGGTTATCTCTACTTGCCTTACCCCTGGTCTTCAGGTAATTAGAGCAGGGGAATAATTTGCTCAGCATTCCAGAGTCTGAAAGAAAGAGGTGGTTAAGTTTAGAAGTTTTGAACTGATGGATCTGCATTTGAAAAGTGTGCTTTCAGACAAGTATTTACTATCTCTAGGAATTGGCTACTCCTAAGATCATCTGTATCACCAGGGCCAGTAAGGCATCACAAGTATAGAGAGTAAAAATGCCTGATAAATACATTTCCATATGCTTTTCTCCAGATTATGTATTTTGAAACACCTCACAGGATTGTAAACTCTCTCATCATTTCAACTGCCATATTTGTGTCATTTTTAACTTGTCATTCTGCTTCCCAACGTATGTTGCCTCAATCTGAACTTTAGAGTCCACTGATGTGGTCTTATTGGGACAGAAATAGTAGGTTTTTTTCTTTCACATGCTCTTTATTTTTATTAATTTTGCTAATATAACATTAAATTTTATTAAACCACTGTATCACACCTGTATCTGCCAGACCTGTATCCATAATTTATTTATTAAGCCCTCAGGTATATATTTTTGCCCAGCTTATTTCATTAATTAAGTACTTGCCTTAAGAGTACAGTTGTCCTTTTGATACAGGGGAAATAATGTAACATTCAACTTGCTAGATGTCAGATCTGTCGAGATTGTTTTCCACAAAATCAAAGAATGAATTTTAAGAAACAATGGAGGTTAAGAGTAGGAGAAATTTATGGAGAGAGATAGCTCCTGAGAGATAGGAGAGGACCTGAAAGTAGGTTGCCAATGAGCCCACTTCTCAAAGAAAGTTTTATACAGCAAAATCACGAGGTAGGTACAATGTGGGTCAAAGCTACGATCAATCGGTAAGAGTACAAGTATAGCCGCTGAGGATACTGAGACGATTTCGGTGGAGTGTTGCCATGGCATGCAGGGGTCCAAGGTCTGAGCACGGAGATGGAAGATGCAGAAAACAAAAGAGAATTAAAGCGGGACCCAGTGGGGCTTCCCCATCTGCTGAGCGGAGACCACTGCGGCCTGCCTGTCACTTTATTTAAGACATAAGGAGGGAAAGTACAAAGAGATGGGGCAGGGTGTCCTTGGTAAGTTTCTGTTCTAACACATTCTGAGAATAACTGACTGCCTTTTTTGTCTTGTTTTCTGTGAAGGAACTGCCATCACAGAAAAGGGTCAAATCAGGATCAGCAAGAGGTGTGTCTATAAGTCTTTTCTGGCTACATATGTATAGATAATTACCTGTTTGCAGTCATGTCTTTCAAACTCAATTTCCTCTTTTATTGCTAGAAAGGTGGCAGGGTTTAAGGAGGAACATGTCTTTAGTTGAAGCTGGTCCTTTTAGAAGTAGAGTCTAGTGTTTAAGAAGTTGGTTCCCAGATAGCCAGAGGCTCCCGTTGAAAGAAAGAAGTCCTGCCACATTGGGTGGTGTATATATAGTGAGATCTGAGGCTAAAGTCAGTTTGGATGCCTCTGTACCAGGAAAGCTATGGCAGCATGCAAGCCATCCCTTTGCTACAGTGCGTAATTTATGACTCAGTTACCCTACAGGCAGTTAAGCAGATCCTCAGTCCTGTAAAAGCACTCCCAAAGACATGCCCCCTCACCAACATATAGATGGAAACAGTGTCCTGTCAGGACACTCAGTGATGGGGCATCTAGAAGGGCTTGTTTAAGTTTTTGGAATGCATTTTGGGAATCAGGTTCTCAGGTGAAAGTATGGGTATCTGCCTTTTCGTCTTTCATTACAAGATGATAGAGGGATTCTGTGATCTCACCATACCCTGCTATCTAAAGGCAACAAAAGCCTTTAATTCCTAGGAATCCCCTTGGCTGTTTTAGGGTTTTGGGCTGTGGGAAGGAAAGTATTAATTTAATTTCCTTTTTCCCCAGCCTTCAGGTTCTGTAGCTATGATAAGGCCGAAGTATTTGACCTCAAGACTTCAGTGCCTTAGACCTTGAAGACCTTATATAACCTCTGTTTGCTAGAAAATTTAGCAGTGCAGGGTGGCCTGTTTAGAGAGCTCTTTTAACAGGGTATATAACAGTATATCACTGATATATTGCAAGACTGGGAAAATTCAAAACACGCCAAGTTGTAGAAAATCACTTGCCCAAAAGGATGAGGACTGTTTCTGAACCATTTTTTTTTTTTTTT